CTTACCTCTGTATATTTTGTGTGTTCTTACAACTGTCTTTATAACCCCAACACTGCAGGACAAATAGAGGTTTTCTTATCTCTTATCTCCACTATTCTCTATTCAAATTATTCAGGTAAAAATTAAATTATGGACACAATTAGAATATGTGTATTTAAATGATCTAGGCATTGACAAGCATGAAAACTGATTGAAGAGTGGAAAAGCAGAGTGTCGTCTGCTTTGATCATTGAGAACAGTCCAGTTGTGTTTTATCTTTTTCATAGTTTGAGTCATGCTTTGACTGCACAACCATGATTCTAACAGTTTTACCACACACTGCTTCTATCACAGCAAGTCTCTTTTGATCACAGCCACTTTTACTGCAATTACAAAAGCTGTTCTCTGTGTCCACTTGGGAGGCCGGTAAATGAGCAGAAACAAGTCGAAAAGTAGGTTATTTATAATCCACATTTCCATCTTTCTTGTTCTCCGTCTCTGCGTCCTGGCGTTTAACATTCACCGGTTGCCAACTCATCCATTCTCCTATCGGTGCTTAATTGTGGTGAAAATGAAGGAGATTACCAGCTACGATGAGCTTTGTACGAATAAGAATGGGTCTCGGAGCAGACCGCGTGCACCGTGGCCATTAGCACATCAGCAAACCTCACCTGAGTACAGCTGGCACCAGACATTATCACGCTAATATGTCTCTTACTGGTGCTTTTTGCATATTAATGAGGCCTCAAAAAAAAAAAAAAAAACTGAAATTTTGCCATAATTAAAATAATGGGTCTAATTTTGAAAACAGACGAATCCTGAGATTTTTGCTTTTACTAATAACTGTGAATGTGAATCACGAGCTAAAATGTGAAATAATCGGTTAAACTTTTGCTCTATTCTGATTCAGGTCACTTCACACAACACCATGCAACTTTCCTGGTGGAGAGTCTGCCGTTTTATCCAGATTGTTCCATAATGTGGCATTAAACCTTTCTATTGAGAGTTCATTCTTTTTTAACTTAATGCAGGGGTTACAAACTTTTTAGCAAGAAGGTCACTTCAGTTCATCAGACTTGACCGGGGGCCGACAACCTGGATTTAAAAACTGGATTGGAGCTGGATTATCTGGATTCTGGAATTTAAAATGGGTTGTGATACGTCCTTATTGATTCACAGCTGCATTTTGTTTGGAACGAGTAGATTTCAGAGAGTCTGAGATTTACAGCAAGGTATAGCATGACTGTTTTGGTGAAGCTGAAGTTGGTTGGATGACACTGTCAAAGTACCTCAATGGTGACTTTGTGTTAGTAGCAGAAGGGCCACATAAGAGAGCACAGAGGGCCGTTATTGTCCCACGGGCCTGAGTTTGGACATGCCTGGTTTAAAGATATGTAGGAGGATTTTCTACTTCCGGGTGGATCATCATAAAGACTATTGGTCCTCCCAAATGTCAATCATTCTGGTGATACAAGCTCGTCCAATAAGACCGAAGAGTTTGGTTCAAAAAGTGGAGAGGGCGGTTCTTTCCTAAAATATGGGAAAATCCTCCTTTTAAACCTGTAAAGTAATGGGGTGCAGTCCAAACAAAGACATTACTATTAGTTTACTCAAGGGAGAGCCCAAAAGAAAAACTTGAATGTTGAAATCTCCACTTTATATTATTTCAGAAACAGACAGTGAAGCCTTAAAACTTCCAAAGAGATCAGGGACGGGAACTTTTTGGGGAAGTAGGGTCTTTGTATGAAAAGGATTCAGAATCTAATTTTACAAATCCGTTATTTTGGGTTAAATCTGTCACGTGATGCGATGAACGAGGACTCAAAATGCAAGAATGCAAAACATTGTGATTTAATTAAGAGGATTAATGTGAAACGGAAAAGTGAAAAGAAAGGAACCGGGAACGGGACGGAACAGAACAGACATCGACAGAACTGGACAATACACTGGACCAGCCACAAAGAGGAGCACAGGTACAGACACAGAGAGACACAGGTACAGACACAGAGAGACACAGGTACAGACACAGAGAGACACAACACATCTGAGTTAGACAATCAACACAGGGGAACAAGACAGGAAGTCAAACTCAAACCAAGCATATTTCAAAATCAAATCAAATCAAAGCACATAATAGTAAAATATCCAAACCGGAGAAATATCAATTCAACCATCTGGCTTTTGTTTCATATCCCCTGCTTATTTAATCTCTGCGTCTTTTGCCATGGCTGTAGTCAGAGGATACTTTGAGCAGGTACTGTATATATAATCTGTGTAACATCTTGTCAGACTGGAGTGTGTTTTCAGACATGGCCGTGTTCAGTGCGTGTCGCTGTAGGTCGTTCAACACAAGGGCTCTTTACAAGGATTTGGATTACACAATTACATAGAACATCTTCAAATGCAGCTTATATAGGGTCTGGACCTTTATGTCTTGTGTTGGGTGAGTTGAGACGTGGTTGGCCCTGGGAAGGAGCCAATTATAGCCTTGGCAACGTTATCATAGAATTTATCATAGAATTTGCTAAGGTCTCACTGAAGACCTTGTTTATGCCGTCTCTTGCTGAGCGCTCGCTGTTGTGGCTCATCTGATTCGAAATGTCTCAGATTTTCTTTGTGTGAAGCTTCATGGAGGAAATTTTCGATTTGCCAATTGATTTTATCTCAGGGATATGACACAAATAAAATAATGTGATTGTGGTGTGCAGAGGTACCACCAGAAGAATAGGAGGAGCACACAAAGCATGTATGCAAAAATGTAAATGTCATTAAACAACATTGTGTTTGTCCCAACAGAAAGAGTCTTGGAAAAGTAAAATGTTGTGAATAAATCAGACCAAAACATCTTCTTTGATCTTTTTGTTGCATTAAGACGGATTTGATTCTTTGAGCCGAGAGCTGATTGGCTGAGTGGGGGCTGCCCTTTCTTCTTTTCTTGCGGAAAATACATGCACATGAAAACTGTTTTTCTCGAGCGTGGAACTAATTGGATTCTATTGATGGTTTTATGATGTTTGATTTGTGTGTTACTCTCATGGATCTATAATAATGTCTGGATAGGGTTTGAATAGCTTACAGCTGTCCCACCGATAGCCACAGGGGGCGCTGTGGTACTGCAGACTAAATTCACGTCACCCAGAAAAAAGTCCCATAGAACTCAATGTAAACTTTAATCTATCTATAATATAATCAAATAATATACTTAATATTTCAGATTGTGTTGTCCATTATCATTTTTTATTATTGTAAATGCCCTAGTAACAAATATTCAATGATAAATAATAATCAGGCTGCATCTTTTTTTTCCTGGGGCTGCTTAAAGGAGTAGCTCTCTGCCTTTATCGTCCCGGGGAAAGCTCTCCTGGACTAGACCATGTGATTCTGGGATGGTTATTGAATGTATGAATCTACTCATTAATATTCAGCAGAAAAAGGCCTGTGGGTGATCACTAATGAACATTGTTATTTTTTCCCTCCATAATGAACCATGGTTTCACTGCCCTCACAACTGACTGATAGCAGCATAAAAACAACACCGTATTCTAGTGGTAACAAGGATTAGACACAATTAGTGCCTTTCTAATGTTGCTTTCAGATGAGTTATTATAACACTTGGCACTTGATGAAACTCATAGAAACATGGAAGTAAATATTATTCTTATTCTGCCCATCTATACTTCTGATTCCTCCTTGATTAGAGACGATAGAAAAGTCAAGGAGGTTGTTTATGTGTGACAAATACTGAGGTTTTATGTGTATAACTCAATTCTTTTCATATATAAATAATACAAACTTGGGCGAGAAGGTGGTTTCAGAATTTTGAGCCTCTCCTGGATTCCACCTGCAGCCTTTAAGAGCAGTTTGCATGTTCTTCCTGTGACTGTGTAGGCTTTCTTCAGGTGCTCCGGGCATCGTCCTGAGCTTTTGTAAATGCAAATGTTGTTGCATTCAAACAATTAAATACAGTATATGTATTCCATGCGGGGACCTTTCAGTGTTGCCCAGTCCAGGAGCAGAAGGGATTTTTGAAGCAATCCAAAACAAGATGATTAGGATCCATTATAATAACATTAAATTATCAAATAAAAAAATAAGGGTAGACTCACAGCCAATTGTGTACGGTTCATCCTTGTTTATGGGAAACTTCATCAAAAATAAATATATTAATTTGAAAGTGGAGTGAATGCTTTAGAGTAGTTTTGTGCATCTGGAGGTTCGTCATAAATCCAGACTCTTAATAAGCCAAGCTCTAAAGATAATCAATGACTCTTCTGGTCTCTGGAAAAGCCATGTTCCAGCTTCTTCCCTCTGGCAGAAGATATCATTCGTTGAAATGCAGGACACCTCGTATGTCAAACAGCATCAATTTCCCAGTGTCAATTGTTTCCTGCACTTTTTTAGTTTGTTTTATTTTTGTACTTTTAAAGGAGCAGTATATACACATGTGGCCAAAAGTGGTACTGCAGCCTCTCCCACTCTCCCTTGGTTGCCAGATATGCAGACGAATCCAGCTGGGACCATAACAGCTGAATAGAAAAGAGTTTTGTCAACAACAAATCTATAACCAACACCTTTTTCACAAAGATAGAAATCCTGGTTTTATTCCTTGTTTTGTTGTTAATGTTTTGAGAATCATAACGAGACCTTTTTTAGTTCTGCGCCACATGGTACTTTACCAGTGAGATTAGCTCCACGCGGGGAGTTCTGGTGCCCGGATCACAGACTTTCTGATTTGTGAAACGGTGGAGGGCGGGACATCGAAATGAAAACAATAACAAGATTTAGGCGCTGGAAAAGTAATTTAGAAATTCAAATATCTCTGAACTACTTAGGGCCCTTCAATTATGACAAATTAGGGCCCTTTAATGATGACAGATAAGGGCCCTTTAACGATGGCTTGACATGAAAATCTTACATAATGCTACTTTAACCTTGTTTTATTTCTGTACTTCTCTTTTGCAAATCTATTCCACTGCAAATGGTAAATAATCTGAATGTGAATCTGTTGTCTGTGTGTCCAGGGGATGATGTACCTGGAGGAGCGCAGACTGGTCCATCGAGATCTTGCCGCCAGAAACGTGTTGGTCAAGTCCCCGAACCACATCAAAATCACCGACTTCGGCCTGGCGCGGCTGCTGGACGTCAACGAGAAAGAATACAACGCTGACGGGGGCAAAGTAAGCTCCGACCGCAACTCCTACAAGTTTCATGGTCATTAAAGATGCACTTCTGCAGACTACATAACAACAACGTGAATTATGTGCGACCGGGAGCTTCAAACACAATCTCAATCACACAATACTAAATCACTGTTTATGAATCCTCCTGAAAAGTTCTCTTCTTTCAAACTAAGTCAAGTGGAAATATTGAATTCTGGTAATTAAAAAACAATCTTCCAATGTTGTTTCCATCAACCGCCTCTGGGCACATTCTATATTAAAGCCATTCTTTTTTTTTATTGCCAAAGAAAAGTTAAATATTAAACTGAAACACACAACAAAATAAAATCATTAAAATCCCTCACAGAAGCAGACAAATTAATGAGTCGCTTCATTGATCTACTTTTCTCAACTGCAAAAAGTTTGGACTGAGAAATGTTCATACTTGTCAAAATAGTAACTTTATCAATATAATTTGGATTTATGGACCCTATGTCTGATCAATTTCCATAAAAATCACAATAGTTTTATGTCTTCAATTGTCTCCAGTGTGATGTAAATCTCAATCCTGAGCCAAAAACGTATATATTTTGCCTCAATAATGACATGAATATTCTTAAGAGCAGTTGCCAAAACCATCCACGGCCATCACAGCAGCAAAACTAACATGAACAAGTGTTTTTTGCATAGACGCAGCTTGAGAACCACTGACCTATACATGCAGTAAGTGCAGTCTGGAACCTCGGAAGTCGCTTATGCAGCTCGAAAAAGAAAGATTATTTTAAAAAACGTGGCACGCCTCTTTGTGGCGAGGGTAAAAATAAACACATAGATAAAAAACGGGTTGAAAAAAAGCCCAGAAATGTGTTTTATTGAGTCTTCAAACTCCAAAAACGTGTAATGTTTCTCATACATGTGTTGTTTGGCCTGTCCTGTCTGTAAACATCAACCTGCCCTGGGATTATGGATGAAATTAGCAACATGGCAAACTCTGCATTTTTACATCTGGACTCTAAGGACTCATGTGAATTAATGTGCACTGTCCCATTATAAATATATAAATACAGAAATGATAAAAAAGGAGAAAACTGAGACACTCAATGGGTAAAGAAAAAGTTAAAAAGCTTTAATACATGGCTAAAAAGTTTCAGCCTCTCAGACCTTCTTTAGGGCATGTGTTGCATTAAAAAATATATTTCACTTCATCCATCCATTTTCTACCCCCTGAGATCTTTTAGCGGGGGCTTCAGGCAAAGTGGGGATAAGTGTCTTGCCCAAGGACACAACGACAGCAGACATCAGTAGGAGTCGGAGAGAAGGTCTCATGGTTCAAACCTACAACCTTCAGGCTCAAAGGCCAAAGCTCTACCAACTGAGCCACTGACGCCCCATTTTTCACTTAATCTTTATTTAGAAGTCCAAGTTAAAACAGACACTGGAGTAGGCCTATTTTTTGTCTTCTCTTGTTTATCCCAACAGAATAAGTCTCAATTCACATTTTATTCCAGACAAGACCCCACAACCTGCTGTCTTTATCTTAATAGAAAAACCCCTGTTAGTCCCAATTTCTACTCTCACCCTTAAAGCTGATTGGTTGAATGCAGCCGCCTCATTTCTATTCGAAAAAACTGACCCACGTGGTGTACCATCAAAAAAATCTTGAGGTTCTTGACACATTGCAGCAAACTCTTCTGGTTTGAATCTGAAAAAACCCCAAACCAAATGAGTTCATATTTGTGGTGGCTTATACACAACATTTGCACGATACGAAAGGCGGCAGTATTATGATTTGTTTTGGACCCTGTGGGAGTGACTGGGCCCATCAGTAAACCCGTCTGAGTGCCTTCGCCGGGCTCCTCTTCTGCTCTATTGGACCGTTTTATTTACTTTGGGGGACAGCGCTCTCAGAACAATATAAATGAAGTAAACAAATCTGTCCTTGGGAGTCTCTGGCCTCTGCTAATCTTTATCCATTCTTTGTATTGGTTTTTTAAGTGCGTTTTTTTTTCTCGGGATAAACCGTCTTCACTCCTCTCCTGCGTCTGTCCATCATATTTATGCAATCTTTCATTATCCTCTTTCTCCCAGACACTGACAGGCGCTAACCTCCACTTTCCCCTTTGTTTTTCCTACGTCTATGTAATCAATGGAATAGGCCTTCAAATCTAATCACAGACCTAAGCCGATCTCACAGCGAGGAATCTCCTCAACATGATACTGATCTGAGGCCCCTCGTGTCTCACTTACCAATGGACGATTGTAACAGAAAGCTTTTATTGGCTTACTGTTAAAGCTGGGGTACCTAACATTTCTCTCAGTTATACAATTTACCTTAAAAAAATCAAAAACAAATCAGACCTCACACTTTGGGCTGAGCGAGAGACCAAACGGCTTTGAGAGCGAGTGACTAGTTAGACTTTAGTGCAGCAGCAGGTTTTCACATGTCAGCAGAGTTTTGGCATCAGATTGGACTTTCTTTTAAAGGGGACAATGCTATTTCACTTTGGAGAGACCCAAGAGGGAAAATGCAGTTAGAAGTTTGTTGATTGAGTATGTTTGGCGCCCTAGGCCCGGGAGAGATGCTGATGAGTGCGGCGCTTGCTCGCGCGCATAATCCCCCCCGGGGCCTAGGCACTGGTGACGGCAGAGGCAGCAGGCAAGCACGCTTCGATGAGAGAAGGAGGAGGTGGGGCGGCGGAGGCTTTGCAAACTTCAGAAGGCCGGGAAAGTGGGCGTCTCCGGCTTTTAACTTGCTGTCCTGGTGGTTATTGGTGGATTAGATGTGGGCGTTTTGCTGGTGTAATGAGTAGAGGATGAGCAGGCTTGTAGATCTGGCAGCAGTGGCCGGGTCTACCACAGTGAACTTTCGCGAAGAGCTTCATTTCACTTTGGAGAGACCCAAGAGGGAAAATGCAGTTAGAAGTTTGTTGATTGAGTATGTTTGGCGCCCTAGGCCCGGGAGAGATGCTGATGAGTGCGGCGCTTGCTCGCGCGCATGATCCCCAAAAACGGGCAGAGTTATCTTGCGCGCCGGGACGTGAGCGCTCGCTTCACGATCAACCGGACGCTGCCTGGGACGTGAGCGCTCGCATCACGATCGATACCAGACGCTGTAGCGGAGTTGTCTTTAAGCGCCGGGACGTGAGCGCTCGCTTCACGATCAACCGGACGCTGTCTGGGACGTGAGCGCTCGCATCACGATCGATACCAGACGCTGTAGCAGAGTTGTCTTTAAGCGCCGGGACGTGAGCGCTCGCTTCACGATCAACCGGACGCTGCCTGGGACGTAAGCGCTCGCATCACGATCGATACCAGACGCTGTAGCAGAGTTATCTTTGAGCGCCGGGACGTGAGCGCTCGCATCACGATCAACCGGACGCTGTCTGGGACGTGAGCGCTCGCATCACGATCGATACCAGACGCTGTAGCAGAGTTGTCTTTGAGCGCCGGGACGTGAGCGCTCGCATCACGATCAACCGGACGCTGTCTGGGACGTGAGCGCTCGCATCACGATCGATACCAGACGCTGTAGCAGAGTTGTCTTTAAGCGCCGGGACGTGAGCGCTCGCATCACGATCAACCGGACGCTGCAACAGGGTTATCTTTGAAGAAGTGCGTGCCGCCACCAGAATCTTATTGGTTCACTTACTTTGCTTTGTATTGCTTTGCTGGGAGCTTACGAGGAAGCCAGTAGACGTTGTGCAGCCAGGATAGCGGACGCGTCTGGCCTGATGTAGGTGGAGAAAGCCGAAGAGGACCAGCACCCCAGCTGTTGCAGAGAGGTGTGGGGGAGCCCCAGCGAGGCCGCGCGCGTGGCGGCGCCTATCCTGAAGGAGTGAGCTGTGTAGAGCTGGGGAGACAAATTACAGAGGAGCAGTAGGGATCTTAGTTGAGCTCTGAACCAGGTTGCTGTCATGGGAAGAATGTCTGGAGTGAGAAATAGAGGTCCGTTAAGATCTCCTTTTTGCAGCGGAGGCGAGTGTAACGCATAAAGGATTTGTAGGGGCAGAGAGATGTGTCCGAGCGAGCTATTACTATATTGCAGGCTCCTTTGATTTTTGAATGTTTGAGACGGAGGTTGAAATGGTCAGGGGACATTATGTTGGGTGAAAAAGAGCGACCTTTGTGTAATGCTTCCACTACGTCGAGATTATCACACGTGACAGAGATCCTCTTTCTCTGCCACGTGTGATTCCACAGCGCGCAGGCCACGACCACTGGGAATATCTCGTGTAGGGCAGAGGAGATGCTCCGGTGGAAAGTAGCGGCCACGCTCGGCAACCAGTGGTCCTGGAAGAATCCCCCAAAACCCACGGAAGGGGCAGCGTCCGTGTAGAAGCGGAGACCTGTAGGGGCAGAGACATGTCGGAGAGGGCCATTGATGTTGCAGGCGCCCTTACGCTTGAAACCTTGGGTTGGAGAGTAGAAATCAGGATAGTAGGAAGGTCGGGAAGGCCGTGTCTCGGACCGCATGAAGGTTGAGTGAGCAATGGTGAAACGCTTACGCAGAGAAGCCATAGAAGGAGAGCAGGAAGATGCTGCGAGGAGGGCGGACATGTACTTGGGAGATGAGCCGGAGTTCAGCGCCGCTGCAGGAATGGGCAGCATGATGGGGAGCCTGCGATCAGAAGAGTGAAGAATACAGGTATGGATGCCTTTGATTAGGAGTCCGATTGACGGCTCAGCGCAGCTACTCGGCCAGCTGCATCTGATAGAATCAGAAGATTCAGTAGAGAGATGAAGCATGACCGCCGAAGCGACCCTGGGAGCATAGGTGCGAGTCCAGCGCAGCGCGGCATACTCAGCCGGGCTGCGTCCATTAGAAGCAGGATAAGCTTCTGAGAGAGTGGGATGCAGCAGTAGCAGTAGCAGCAGCAACCTCAGATAATAACGGCAATAGTCCTGTATTAAGCCGCGACAGTAGCAGCAGCAGCAGCAGCAGCGTCCTTAGAAAATAACAGTAATAATTCTGTACCTAAGCCACAGCAGTAGAATGTTGTTGTAGCTGTTCAGTGTTTCAGTAAAAGAGATGCAAGTGAAGAGAGATGGCAAAGTAAATGAAGCAGCAGCAGCAGTAGTAGCAGCAGTAGCCGTATGAAGCAGCCGCAGTAGCAGTATGAAGCAGCAGGAGCAGTAGCGGCAGCAGCAGCTGCAGCATCCGTAGATAATAACAGCAATAATCCTGTATCAAAGCCAGAGCAGTAGAATATTATTGTAGCTGTTTAGCGTTTCAGTAAAAGAGATGTGAAGTGAAGAGAGATGTCAAAGTACATGAAGCAGCAGCAGCACGGCAGCAGTAGCAGTATGAAGCAGCAGCGGCAGCAGTAGCAGCAGTAACGGTAGCAGTATGAAGCAGCAGCAGCAGTAGCAGTATGAAGCAGCAGCAGTAGCAGCAGTATGAGGCAGCAGCAGCGGTTGCAGCATCCGTAGACAATAACAGCAATAATCCTGTATCAAAGCCACAGCAGTAGAATATTGTTGAAGCTGTTTAGTGTTTCAGTAAAAGAGATGCGAAGTGAAGAGAGGTGTCAAAGTAAAGAAGCAGCAGCAGCACGGCAGCAGTAGCAGTATGAAGCAGCAGCAATAGCAGCATTAGCGGCAGCAGTAGCAGCAATAGCGGTAGCAGTATGAAGCAGCAGAAGCAGCATTAGCAGGAGCAGTAGCACCACAATGAGATTCATACGAACAACAGACGTGTCACGCCAGCGTGCGCCGCTTGTCTCCGTGAGCCAGGTTACATACGTGTCTGAAAGAGCCAAGCCGTAGAGACAGGTGCCGCCCGGGAGCCCGCGGAGCAGCAGCGGCAGGAACAGCAGCAGCGGCACATGTAGTAGCAGGAGCAGCAGGAGCAGGCAGCAGGAACAGGCGGCAGCAGGAACAGCAGCAGCGGCACATGTAGTAGTAGGAGCAGCAGGAGCAGGCAGCAGGGACAGGCGGCAGCAGGAGCGGCAGCAGGAACAGGCAGCAGCGGGAACAGGCATCAGTAGGAACGGCAGCAGGGACCGCAGCAACGGCGGTCAGAGAACCATGCCCACGGTTGTTTAAGAGCCTGAGGAAATAAATCAACCCGAATCCGAAACATTCCCATGCGAAAAACAGATGTCCCCTGGAGCCATCTTGCTGCTTTGGTTATGGCAGATACGCATGAACGATCACTGATCCATGCGTTCATAGCTCCAACTCCACTTCAAACCCATTGCAGATTCACATTGGGCCCCTTTTCTTTCTGCTGCACTTTCGAAATGCAACAACTGCAGTTTAGTTACCCAATTTAATACTAGTGACCTAGCTATTTAAATGCATGGCCCCTCCTTCCTCCTGCAGATAGACGAATTTAAATACATTCATTTAACAATAGTGACCTGCAAGTAATGAGATTAATGCTGTAAAAAATGGCGCCGTGGCAAGAGTTCTGGTGTGTGCCGTCTGGAGCACGATGGGTAGTCTTTGCACATTTTTTCCAACGTGGTTTTACTGCAAGTGGCAGAACATGAATCTGAATTGATGCACATTGCTCCTCTTATATCCCTCAGACATTGGAGATTGATGCCATTTAAGATGCATTGTCCCTCAGTTAGCTCAACACGTGTAAAACGGAGCCTGCAACCAAGCACGGGGCGAAAACTGACGCCTGCAGTCAATTGCGTAGGGCAAAAACCACCAGTCGCCTGCAGCCTAGACTCCGGGATTAAAAGCTGTCCGCGGTCGGCACACTCACTGTACTCACATGCCAGGAGACTTGGGAAAGCAACGGGACAACGCGGCACCGCCAAACTTCGAGTATTGGGACGGGGCCACAGACACCTTCAAGGCAACACCCTCACTTGCTCTTAGCACTGCAAGAAAAAATACACAAGCATTTTTACATTACATTTACACATTTGTGAACCTTTCCATTTGGTGAAGTTTTAAGTCGTACTGTGCTGCCATCTGCATTAAACAACGCACAGACGTCATGTCTGCAGTCGTCGAAAAAGTTTCCTTAAAGTGTTACACCCCGGCTCATGGAGGGCAACATAAAGGACAAACACTAGTAAAACGTAACAGGGTTTATTAACAAAACCAAAAAGGGGTACGAAACAATACAAAACAAAAGGAAGTAAATGTGTGGAGATGAGGGCTGCTGCTGCTGCCAGGCTGAGAGAGAGAGAGGGAGGAGCCAAGGCAGCCATTTTAAGGACTCCAGTGAGTCCAATCAGAGTGGGCTAGAAAACCTGGAACTTGGAGCAGAGTCTTAGTTTCCCATAACACTTCCCCCATAAGCAAGTTGGTGCCAACCAACATGCCATAATGTTGAACTCACGACCTTGAGAGGGCGTCAGCCAAGACGTTGTCACGTCCTCTTATGTGTCGGATGTCCAGAGTGAACGCCTGCAGGAACAGGCTCCATCTCATGAGCCTCTGGTTGGTGTTCTTCATGCGACTCAGGGCGACCAAAGGATTGTGATCAGTGTAGACGACAACAGGATGGCTGGAAGAAACATACACTTCAAAATGCTCGAGGGCCAGGATTAACGCTAGAGCCTCCTTTTCTATTGTAGAGTACCGACACTGGTGGACATTAAACTTCCTTGAGAAGTAGCAGACAGGGTGCTCCACCCCTGATCTATCCTGAAGGAGGACAGCGCCGGCCCCAAAATCACTGGCATCCACTGCAACTTTAAAGGGCTGGTCAAAATCAGGAGCTATTAGAACTGGAGCGCTAGCCAGCAGAGATTTCAACATTTCGAAGGCCATTTGACAGGTTTCCGACCAGGCAAATAGGACCTTGAAGCTGAGCAGGTTTGTTAAAGGAGTAGCAACAATTGCAAAATTCCTGCAAAAACTCCTATAGTACCCTGCCATGCCAAGAAAACGCTTCAGGTCTTTTCTTGAGGTAGGAACAGGATACTGTGTGATAGCCTCAATTTTAGCCCCGACTGGGCACACCATTCCGCATCCCACAATTTTTCCCAAATAAGTCACCGTAGCTTGTCCAAATTCACATTTAGCCAGATTCAATGTTAGATTGGCCGCTACGAGGCAGGAAAAAACAGTGTCCAGTTGTGAGATGTGATCCTGCCAAGATGAGCTGTGAAGAACCACATCATCCAAGTAGGCTTCACAGTCCTTAACACCCTTCAGCACCGTGTTAACGAGGGGCTGAAAAGTGGCCGGAGCATTCCGCATTCCAAAAGCCATGGCATTGTACTGACAGAAATCATCAGGAGTGACAGACGCAGAAATCTCACACGCTCTCTGGGTCAAAGGTACTTGCCAATATCCTTTTAAAAGATCCAGCTTTGTCATGAACCTGGCAGATCCCACCCGATCAATACAGTCGTCTAAGCGGGGTAGAGGGAAACAGTCCGGCTTAGTTACTGCATTCACTTTTCTAAAGTCCGTACAGAACCGAGGAGACTTGTCAGGTTTATCCACAAGTAAACATGGGGAACTCCACGAGCTCGAACTGGGCTGAGCTATACCATGCTGCAACATGTACTGTACCTCTTTTTGCATCACCTGCCGTTTCTCAGGGTTCACTCTATAAGGGTGTTGTTTAATAGGAGCAGCGTCGCCTACATCGATGTCATGGTACAACACACTCGTACAGGTGGGTACATCAGAGAATAGCTCAGGGTGCAGGTGGATGACGACCATAATTTCAGCACGCTTGTCTTCATCTAGATAGGAAAGATGAGCAGGCAGGTTTGACAAAAGCTCAGAGTTGGGCAACCTTCTCTCTGGAACCGTTTGTACTCTCAGACACGTGTTGTCCTCAGGCTCTGGTACTGGGGCACTCAGCACAGCCACAGGTTTCGGGGTAGAAGCAACCTTGTCTCTGTCAAAATAAGGCTTGAGAAGGTTAATGTGACACATGCGCACTTTCCTCCTCCGGTCGGAAGTTTTGACGAGGTAATTGGTCTCATTTAACCTGCTCTCAACAACAAAGGGCCCACTGTACTGAGCCTGCAAGGTGGAACCAGGGAGAGGCAACAGAACGAGCACTCTGTCCCCAGGCTGGAACGCTCTAGCTTTAGATTTTTTATCAAATCTAAGCTTCATTTTTCCCTGAGCCTCCTCCAAGTTTGCTTGGGCAAGTTCACACGCTCTCTGTAACTTGAACTTGAACAGACTGACAAAGTGGAGGAGATTAGAGGGGCAAGAGGCTCCCTCATCCAGCCATCTCTCCTTTAAAAGCTTGAGTGGTCCACGCACTGTATGGCCAAAAACCAACTCAGCTGGGCTGAATCCGAGTGACTCCTGGGTCACTTCTCTCACTGCGAATAGGAGTAAGGGTACTCCCTCATCCCAGTCCTTCTCAAACTCACGGCAATAGACTCTCAACATGTTCTTTAGAGTTTGGTGAAATCCCTCTAGTGCCCCCTGGGACTCTGGGTGGTAAGCAGATGATGTACACTGTTTGATTGATAACCGCTGAAGCACCTGAGAAAACAGTTTAGACATAAAATTACTCCCTTGGTCACTTTGAACCACTTTTGGCAGACCAAACAAAGTAAAAAACTTGACTAGTGCCTTGGAAACTATGGGAGCAGTTATTCTCCTAAGTGGCACAGCCTCTGGAAACCGGGTTCCGACGCACATCATCGTTAAGAGGTACTCTGGTCCGAGGGAGTGGACCCACACAATCTATGAGAATGTGCTCAAAAGGTTCCCCAATCACAGGTATGGGATGTAACGGGGCCTTTGGAATAGTTTGGTTCGGTTTGCCAACTATCTGACACGCATGGCATGTTTTACAGTACTGGGTGACATCAGATTTCATACCAGGACAGTAGAAGTGTCTCCGCACTGTCAAGAGTTTTCTTGATTCCCATATGACCGGCCAGACTGTGGTCATGAGCAAGACTGAGTATATCATTACGATAGACCTCCGGTACCACTATCTGAAAGACACTACTCCAGCTGTCTTCATGGGTCAGCTCAGGAGGAGTCCACTTTCTCATCAAAACATCATGGCTCAGAAAATAAGCACATGAGTAGTTTTTAAGTTCACTTTCTGCCACAGTATTGTCAAACAGGGCAGCTAGGCTAGTATCACTACTCTGTGCCTTTTTAAGCTCATCATGAGATGGAAAATGGGTACCAAAACCAAAAGTGTTACACTTGGCTAGGAAGGTGTCGGACAGATCCACTGTGGAATCTTTAGGTTTAGTTGTAGATTTACTAGCCATCGCTCGAGTAACAGCACACACAGGAAAGGTATCGGGATAGTGCCGCTCCAGCTCATCTGCATCGGAACGAACAGGGGTAGGAGCAACTACTGGGGCAGCCAATATCCGGTCACCAGCCAAGTCATTGCCTAAAATAAGGGCAACACCATTGATAGGAATACTTGGGCATATCGCTACAGGAAGGTCTCCAGATACTAAAGAGGTCTGTAGGCTAACAGTGTGCAAAGGCAAGGTCAAAATTCCCCCAAAACCTTGTACAAGGGCACTACCCTCCAGCTCAGACTGCTCTGCAAAGGGGAGAACATCCTGCAACATAACAGACTGAAAGGCCCCACTATCCCTCCATATTTTTATTGCGCGTCTATCCGTGGGGTTAGAAGGTAATGACACAAACCCATCCATTAAAAATGAGGAGGAGCAAGCCATTTCATGCTCTCGTTTAGGTTCTACACCTAAGCTTGGAGTTTTTTCAGTACCAAGGAAAGCGACTGGTTTGGGCTTCCTTCTTTTATTCAAAGTAAAGCAATCAGCAATCAAATGGCCAGGCTTTTTACAATAAAAGCAGACCTTTTCATAGGAACTGGCAGACTTTCTAAAGGTCTGATCCTGGTGTAGAAATGGTTGCTTAAAGGATTTAGGTTCCTGAGCTTTAACTAGACTCTGTTTGTGAGTCAGCACAAACTCATCAGCAAGAAATGCAGCCTCTGAAAGAGTTGAAACCTTCTGCTCATTGATGTATGTACAAATACCGTCAGGCAGACAGTTTTTGAACTCCTCCAACAGAATTAGCTGTTTCAACTCTTCTACAGTCATTGCTTTCTGGGCCAGGCACCAGCGGTCAAATAATGCTTCTTTTTTATTAGCAAATTCCATGTAGGATTTGTCCTCTGGTTTAGTTAAACCACGGAACCGCTGGCGATAAGCTTCAGGGACTAACTCATATGCCTTCAAAATAGCATTTTTCACAATGTCATACTCTCCACTGTCTGCAAGCGATAGAGCAGAGTAGACTACTTGGGCTTTACCGACTAAAACACTTTGTAACAGTAATGACCAACAATGTTTAGGCCATTTAGAGATAGTCGCAACCCTTTCGAAATGTGGGAAATACTTTTCAACATCCTTTTCTACAAAGGGAGGAACTAATCTAATGTTTTTGACAACATCAAAGTCCAATTCAGGCTTTACATTAACTGAAGCTCTTCTGATCTCAAGCTCTTTAAGAAACCGCTCATGTTCTAACAACATTTCTTTTTCTCTAAGTGCTAACTCTCGTTCCTTCAGATTTAGCTCTCTTAGTCTCACCTCCATAGTTGGATCTGCATGGACCAGCGCAGACCGAGGGACAGGATTTGCTTCAGGCACATTGACTGTCACGCTGTCCGGAGCAGGGGAGGCCATCAGGACTGGAGGAAACTGGAACAGGCCCCTCTCAACTAATGTAGCTTTAAGGGCATCTCTCATGTGCTCTTTGAGACGTTTCTGCCAACCTGTAGTGTCTATATCATAGTGTAATGCCAAATTCATCAACTGTTCTTTGATAAACTTCTCCAGTAGCTCAACAGAAGGTCTTTGAATAAACTTGAATAAACGGTATAAGCGGTATGCGATAAAAATTTGGCCAACGGTAGAGATTTTTGTTATACCGGCATATTGCGATAGGTCATTATGTCATTAAATTGCTGGGTTGCACGAGACGAAAGTGCTCCGAGGGACAGGAAGTAAATTTCCCCACTAAGAACAGTGTAAACATTCACTGATTCCGAGTTAAAATGCTCTTTTTCTGTGGCATGTACAGTTGTGGCAACTGCTCATATCAAGTGGGGAACCTATGGAGTCTCTACTTTGCTAAAAAATATTTCTCTAATGGGTTTCAATTTTTAGGAAAATGCCTAATAAGGAACGGGAGAAATGCGCAAGCATTAGCATTAGCCTGCGTAGCATCTGCGGCCACAGACACAGCTGACAGTCCACAGTCTTTACTTGGCTTACTTTCATAGATACAATGCAGTATTTTTGTGTGGTATACGGTTGTAGCAACCGAGGGAACAGAAAGAAAGAACTGTTAAATACATTTTCTAATTGCAACCCCCGCTGTTAGCTTACTGCTGTTAGCTTAACGCTAACAGCTCCAGGAGCTCCTTACTTTTTGTCCGAGCGTTTTGTTATTTACAGCTCAACAAATCACCGCTTCAAAT